TGGGTGGTTGGCGGTTGTTTGTTTGTTTGTTTGTGTTTGTTTGTTTGTTTGTGGGGCTCATTGTGAGTGGGGCGGGGTTTTATTTGTTTGTGGGTGGTTGGCGGTTGTTTGTTTGTTTGTGTTTGTTTGTTTGTTTGTTTGTGGGGCTCCTTGTGAGTGGGGCGGGGTTTTGTTGTTTGTTTGTTTGTGGGACTCATTTTGAGTGAGACATACTTTTTTGATTGATTATTTGTTTGTTCGTTTTTGTTTGTTTGTGGGGCTCATTGTAAGTGGGACAGGATTTTGTTTGTTTGTTTGTGGATGGTTGGCGGTTGCTCTGGTGTGGTTTGCTTCTTCTTTCCTATCAAATTATGTCTATCGTCTTTATCTTCCCTTCTTCTTTGTTTGTGCATGTTACTCTCTTGTAACACCTCTAATCTTCTGCACTTATAGGACCTTATTGTGTTGCAAGTGTCGTAAAACACGTACTAAAACTTTATTTGTTTGCTGTTTCTTTATTTGTTTGTTTGTTTGTTTGTTTGTTAGTTTGCTGTTTGTTTGTTTGTGGGACTCATTGTGAGTAAGATTTACTTTTTTGATTGTTTGTTTGTTTGTTCGTTTGTTTGTTCGTTTGTTTGTTTGTTGGACTTATTGTGAGGGACAGGATTTTGTTTGTTTGTGAGACTCTTTGTGAGTGGGAAAGATTTTGTTTTTTTGTTTCTTTGTTGGGCTCTTTGTAAGTGGGAAAGACGCTGTTACCCCGCGGGGTGGTGCTACTGACTGAAGTGTCTTTAGGCCATTCCAAAAGGGGGGATATTAACATGTTCTTATGCACAGTAGAATTGTACATGTAAATGGGCTGATTCATCAATGTTTTGCTCAAAACTGTGCCTGAACTGCAACGGGGAACTGCTGCTTTTTCTTTCCTAATCCTTACTATTGTCATTTTTCCTCTACTTCTTTTATATGTTTGTCACACTCTTGTGACCCGCTATTTCCGGGGTCCCTTCATAGACGAAGCAGACTTTGTACTGTTGAAGCTAGAGAGGTGAGCAGAGTAAGCCTGATTCCCTGTATGGACATCTCTGTTGACATCCACCCTCTGACGCTCATATAACCGTATGCAGTTGTGAGCCCCGTAAAAAAGATGCTGTTTGTTTGTTTGTTTGTTTGTTTGGTTTAGTGTGTTTGTAGGACTTGTTGTAAGTGGGACAGGAATTACTTACTTTTTACTTTTACTTTTTCATCCTCGGTTGCCGTTAAGCGTCGAGGGGAGATGCAGTTTTCTGTTGTAGGCCAGCTCCGCAGCTCTTTCAGTTGTGATGTTATGTTTTCTTAGGGTTTCCTTGACACCCTCGATCCACCCTTTGCGTGGCATTCCTCTTCCTTTATAGCCTGAGTGCTTGGTGTTGTAGGCTCTCAAGGCTGGCTGGTCAGGTGACATGCGTAACAGGTGGCCAAACCATTTTATCCTCTGTCTCACTGTGTAACACAGGCAGGACTCAGTGCCGATAGCTGCTCTTACTTCTTCATTTCTCTGCCTGTTTCGTCTTGTGATGATAAGGGTTTTGCGGAGACATTTCATTTCGCATGCGGTGATTTTGCTTTCATGGGTTTTGCTTAAGGTCCAGGTCTGGCACTGATAACATAATGTTGGTATGGATATTGAGGTGATAAGCTGTCTGTTTGTGTCCATGGAGATGTTTGGATGAGATAGACGGGGTGCGAGCTGGTAGGTGACAGCGTTGGCTTTTTGAGTTCGCATTTCTATTTCTCTGTCTATGAACCCGTTTTCAGAAAAAGTGCTGCCAAGATATTTAAACTCTTTCACCTGTTTCAGTTGTTTACTATTGACATGGATGTTCAGGGGACTATGGTTTCGGCTCACTTTCATAACTTCTGTTTTTGATGTGCTTATTTTCATGTTGAATTTCTCACAGGTGTTGTTGAGCTCGGTAGTGTGATTTTAGAGGCTTTGTTGGTCATAATGAATTGGACATTGGTCGTCTGCGAACAGAAATTCATTTAGGCTTTCTGGGTTTTGGTTTGCTTCTTGCGTTATTGTGTCCATATATATTATAAAAATGAGGGGAAATAGAACGCATCCCTGTCGTACTCCTGATCTTACTTTGAACCAGTCTGTATTTACTTCCTTCGTTCTTACTGAGCTTCTGCTGTTGGTATATAGAGCTCTGACATTATCTAACAATTGTCCTCTGACGCCATACTTTTCGAGTGTCTTCCAGAGTTTTGCATGGTTAACACTGTCAAAAGCCTTCTCTCGGTCTATAAAGACGATGTTGGATTCTTTGTTGTGTTCTATTGTTTTCTCGCATATCTGTC